GCGGCCCTCTTTTACGTATTTCTGAGATGCAACTGATGTTTTATTCGTTTTAATCTTCAAGAGTGACTGTTAAATTTTATAAATTTCACTAAAATAGAAAGGTAATTAAGTATTGCATGAAAATTAGAAAACCATTTTATATCTGGTTCTGATAATTATGTTAATTGCATAGAAATATTGTTATTTATGAACAATCTTGCAATTCAAAACAATTAACGTGACTCAATGGGCGCGGAATTAAAAAAACCTAGTAAGTAGTCTATGTATTCTTCCAGACTACATTTATCTATTCGAGAGAACCTTTACAAAAAACATTCATCCATCCATCTATTCATCTAAACATTCGTATTTAAAATATAAGTGAGATACTAAAAAGTATGATTATTTTAACGTCGTAATTTTCAATTATTTGAAAATAATAACGTTCTATTTCATACTATAGTTTTTAAAAATAATCAATCTTAATTGATAAACATCGTAGAAACTACCACAAACATAGAATCGTTCAATTTATTTACAAAGAAAAATAGAGCAATTTTCAATAAAAGCATGAATGAAGATGGACAGCGGTGATGTGGTGACAAACTGCATGGCATCGCTGTCAGTGTGTCTCCGCCCTAAAGCCTCCTAACTAATGCTCGTTCCGCGCTAACAAATTGACTCTACTTGACTTTGTAACCAGTGAACTTCAAATCAATAACTAACACTATGTAAATTGCACATTTAGCTATCGTAATAATCTTACCAATTTTATAAATGCGAATGTTAAGATGGATGGATGGATGAATGTTGTTTGAAGATATCTCCAGACCATTTACGAATATTGATTAAATTTGCCATACATATAGAACATAGTCTGGAAGAACAAATAGGCTACTAATTTGATTTTTTTTTGAGTTCCACGTGAACGAAGTTGTGGGCGATCGCTAGTCGTATATATAATTTACTTGTTTACATTATTATCAAAAACATTTGAATGTTAAAACGAAACTCGATATTGTACAGGATTTAACAGTTTAATGGAGTGTAAGATTGCCCAAAGTCTATCCATATTACGAAAGTATATTAAATTGCAGAAATTTTTGTTTCACTCGGCTACTATTGTTATAATAAAAAGCTATTTTAGTAATATCGTCCAAGAATATATAATGCACGGAGACAATAACCTAAATAATAAAAGAGATAGCATCCCGTAACGGATGGCTTGTTCCCACTGCGACGCGGAAACCCCGGACATCGAAATTATATTACATACCATAACGGTCATATTAACTTACATACAGTTTCTGATAATATTCTGTTTAACATTATATTGTTAGTAACTTTTTTCCGGTTAACGTGAGTTTCACGGACGCCTCTAAAACCTTATAGAATTTATTTTATGTTACAATGACAGACTGATGTTTTAGTTTTTCAGATTTATAGGTATGGCGTTATCATTCCTTTCTATCGGGATATGTAATTTGGGATATCGGACTAGTGATGCTTATGGGGTTAAATACACAATACTCTTGAAATAACACAGATAAACATTTCATTAAATATAAAATCTTCAATCAAAAACAGGAACTTTTGCAGACCGTCAAGATGAGAAAAGTATCTTACCTCAGCCACGTGCTCAGGCACGACAGATACAGTCTGATCCAACTCATCTTTATGGAAAAAGTTCCCGGTAAAAGGAGTGTTGGTCGCAGAAAGAAATCCTGGTTGCGTAACATCCGAGAGTGGACATAGGTTGTGAGTGCCGCCCAACTATCTCGCCTCGTAAGAGACAAAAGAAAATATGGAGAACTGATCGCCAACCTTCGTTAGTCGGAGAGGCACTTCAAGAAGAAGAAATATAAAATCTGAAATGGATATTCCGAGATAAAAGAAGATAGATAAATAAACATGTTAGTTATGGTGCAGTCGTGTAACATGTTTGTAGGCGGGCGGCGGGTGTGTAATGAGCTCATGTATCGTTCCAACTGCAAGGTTTACGCCGCGCAAACAATTTCCGGAATCTGACGATCGTGTTTTCAATTTCAGACACCGTGTACACTCAACATCGGTTAATCGGAAGACTCTCGTCACTGTTTATACACGCACTTGAGTTCCTACATTAAGTAACTACAAGGTGAATTAAAGAAACTAAAAGTCGATAATAGAACCAAATAAAATATATTATTCGCCGAAAAAACGAAGCGACCTCTGCCCATAAACATCTGTAATTGCAAATGCCTACCTTTAATCAACGGAAAAAAAGACGCGCATGGAGAAAATATTTCCCCTTCCTATGCGTCCCTTACTCTGTTGCACTTCCCCTACCCTTCCTAACCTTAGAAGAAAAGGTTGGCAAGTAAAGGACGACTAATTTTTTTTATATTAAAAAAATATTAGCAGATTTTTGTGAATTTACTAATATTTCTTTCTACCATTCCAACTAAGCTCTAGGCTTGTGCTAGGATATGGTTTACAATAGTCGAAGGCCGGATTCGAACTCTCGACCAGGTAATCGGAAATCCGTACTCTTAACCATTAGGCAATTGGCGTTTAAAATTATGCAAAATGTTTGTCGTACATATATTTTTAAGAGTACGTGAGTTTTTCCTTTAAATATAAACGATGGATTTATTTTTTAATATAAATGTCAAGGAGTAATAATTCACAACATTGTATTATAAAATGGAGCATATGTTTTTGTTGGCATTGTCGCTTGTTACAATTGTTTCCTACTTTTTCCATGCATGTTGTTGGCACAATCGGTATGTCGTGAGGGAAACGTCTTACAAGGAAATATCACAATTTTTTTTGTATTAAATCGAGGTAAAACATTTGAAGTAGGAATTATTTATTATTATTGTACTGCATTTGTTATTTACTTTTAGTTGAGAGATAAGAATGTACCAATAAGTTTTTCAACTAATTTGAAAATTGCTTCCACTTGGGAAGCTACTATCCCTGGATTATATAAACTATATTAACTATTAGAATTTTTCCAATCTCGCACGGACGAAATCGGGTCAACAGCTAGTATGATTTAAAAATATAAATTTTGCAACAACACTTAATTCCTTGTAACCTCAAAGCGACACGCAATACTTCGATTACTCTTTTATAAAAAAAAGTAGTTTTAATCATAAGGTGTCGAACATTTACTATGATTAATCGCTTACAGTTTAATTGTACTGACTTCATACATTATTAAAACCTCGAAAAACGTAGCATAGGTGGTCATGTGTTATACAAGGAGTTTTAGGCTTTTTCTTAAATAGTTGATACAGAGCTTAGAGGATGATAAACCTAATATAACTTGTATTAATTCTATCGCAGTAAAAAACCTACCAACAATTATTACATTATAGAGAAAGGCAATTGATGTTGTTTGACTATGGCAAGCATTTAGTGAACATTTGTATATACTAAACAAGCTTCGAGAACATTCTTGATTAGATCACGTACTCACGGAATTAAAATAGTAACTACTAACGATTTTATTCAAAACTAGGAAGCAATCACAATTTTTTTTAACTGAAACACACTCAAATGTTTGCAGTTACGTTCCCAAACGAAAAAAATAAATTGCATAGCATTCAAAAATACATATTTATAAAATATAAAAGCGAATACTTAGTATTTATACCTGATGATTATATTACTATACTATCGGTCGCCCGCGACTTCGTCAGCACAGAATTTAAAAAGTGACATAACATGACCGCGTGCATCAGGTACCTTTTCGTCTAAGTCCCTCGAGATCCGTTGAACCATTCTGGAAAGACCTTCTAATAAACAACCATTCATCCATTCATTCGTTTAATCTTTCGCATGTTTAATATTAGTAAAATTACGTTTTCATTATTGTAACAACCAGAGCAGTTACTTAATTTAACATTATTTATTTCAATTTTTAAAAAAATGTATAATTTATTTATAATTTTAAGATCAATCTTCATTCCGAATCGTTTTTAATATTTGGTATAAATTCTGAATCATAATGAGGCAACATTATTCTGTTGATGTTAAATTTAAATACAAACTTCGATCGCAACAAACATTTTGGAAACTTTTGTATTTGCCTAATAAACTACATTCGGGCGACCCTTTCTTGATTAGATCACGTACAAGCAGGATTAAAATAGAAACAAATAACGTAGTACAAACAGAAAGTTTCTTTTGTAGCACTTCATGAAGACAAATTTCAATTCATTTTATGTAATGGCCCTATGACAGTCGTACACGGTACTGTTTCAATGTAGTCAATATCTACAAGCAGCCTTCCAGACAGTGTCGCAATGAAAAAACGCAGCCGCCCGTACGTTGAATGATTGAAACTCGTGTATGGCGATCATTAAATGACGATAGTATTTACAGAATTAAAAAAAGTATAAAACCAATAGTAGAATATTTCAACAGATCATTGTTGATGTTTGCATATTTTTTTTTATTTACATTTTTTGTTTTGTTCAACATGCAACTAAACTGTTTCCAAATTGAATATCGAAAAATTTTACTAAATCACATGTTTTGGATGATTTTTAAATTAAAATATACAAGGATAAATGCATTAATGAAAAGAAAAATATTAAACTTTCTACGTAAAGTCCTTAAAACGTCGTCGTACGCGTGTTTAAAGTACGTAACGAGATTTCTATCCGTGTTTACTTTTAGTATCGTTCCATTAAAAGTGTTTTACTTGCAACATTTGATATTTTATTTCACCAAGATGTATTTCTTAAAAAAAATTTAATTATTTTATCGCAATAAAAAATATTAAAATTTAAGTATCGTAATTTGCTTTATTTGTAAATAATAATTGAAATCGTAATCTCTACTTTGTTTTCTTGGTAAATCGGCTAATATTTAGAATCATTTTAAAGGGTGTAAAAGATATTCTATTATTTGAGTTCCTATGATTTTAAAATCACAATAAATAATAATAATTTTCATTTTTTTTAACCCAAAAAATACTATCTAAAGAGGTTTCTAGGAGTACTAAATAAAAGGAATATGAAAATATATAATTTGATATGTTTATTTTACTCAATTTTTCGAATATATTTTAAAATAGAAAAAAAATATTTCAAGGGTGAAAAACTCCGGTAAACAGGATATTTCTTCCAGTTTTTAATACAAATACGAAGGGATGATCTGCGCGAAACGTGACGGTGTTGGGTACAAGTGCAGCCAAGTACGATATTCCAAACTCTGAAATTTCATAATAAATTTATTATTCAAACTTTTTTTACCTCAATTTTGCCAAAATATTCATAAAAAAACATATGTTTTCATCTTTATTATTCCCTGACAAAAAACTGACACGAACAAGATTTTCTGACCTGGGTTATTCTGTCAGAATATATATAAAATCAACATAACCATAGAAAATGACATAGAAAAAAGAATGAGACCTACATAAAATTATAAGAAAATCATTCTTCTTTATCCTCGACAAGAGATGGTGAATATACTCCGTTAAATATTATATTATTATAGACTTTAATTGCAAAAATAAATGGTCTATTGGCAGCAAAAATCATTGGTTGCGTATATGATTCAGTTATAATAAAAGCTGCAAAAATAAATTAATAATAATATCAAGTATAAAAAAACAATAACACAAGTTTTTCTATATTACCATTCGCAGCGGCTGCTTCCGCCCCTTCTTCGTTGATTTCGATGAAAGCCTTTTGTATCGCATCACTTATATATAAATCACTTTCGTTAGTTAATAACCTATTTAACTTTGCTTTGGATGCGTCGAAAATACCTTTTACTCCGATCTAAAACAATTAATTTTCTTAATACTCTCGTCCAAAAACAATGATATTAAAAATATGCAAAATATATCGCTTAATTCAACCCAACTATGAATTACTTACTTCTGGAAGGATTTCTTTTAAGTTAGTTGTTGTCTCGATTTTGAATTTCGGTATATATGCTTCGACTTCAATTTCATACAAACTGTTAAGGGCTCTTTCTAATGATGAACTATCTTTGACTCTATCTAATAATTCAGAGATGCCGACCACGTTGTTGGGAAGTATAATATAAAATGCAGATTCATCACCAACATAGGGCAATTCCAATATCTAAAAACATAAATAAAACATATAAATAGGCTCAAATATTAAACACTATGTAAACATATAAGAATAAAAGTCATACTTTTGCGTTAAGTTCTGCACTTTCACCATAATTGTAGTCTCCCTTTCTATACATTGTTGACACCTTTATTTTTTTCCTATGCGACAGGTAGAAGTCATTTTCACTTGTGCGCTTTTTTTCAAATTGATCTTTCCACGTGCCCTGTTTATAAGAATATATTAATTAATATATTTATTTACGCGCATTAAAAAAGCTTAATTGCCAAATTTCATCAAGATCCGTTGAGCCTTCCAGAGATACCTCGTAACAATCAAACATCCCTCCATCCATTCAAACATTGCCATTTATAATATTAGTAAGAACTAAGATTAGTAAGATTTATAATAATAGTAAGATTAAGGTACCAACCTTAAAGTATATCGCATTTACTAAGACAGCTCTGGTGTCAGCATCTAAGGTATTAGGATCCACTAAATCCTTAATGCGATTATTTGTCTGTTGTTCCACCTATAAAAAGCATATCAAATATATTGGCAAAGTTCGTGGATTTATATTTATAATGCCTACAGATAAGAATAAGTAAATAATTTAACAAAATGTACTTTTAATAATTCTTTCCTTCCTATCTTTTCTTTCATTCTTTAAGAAACGATTTTTTTTATAATTTTTATGCACCAAATAATGTAATTAATTATGTCGAAAATAAGTATTATTAATATTATTCATAATGATCTGTGGTCGTTTTTATTTTTTTCTATATTCGAATTCAGAAACTCTTAAACAAGATAATTACTCACCCAAGTGTTTATCTCTTTTGCTGTACTTTGACTTGCAGTAAAATCAACGTTTTTAACTTCCGATTGGAATGTTTGTTTCACGACTTCTTCGTAGTCCTTGTTAAGTGTGTATCCATTGGCGACATAAATCCTATTTGCCATTTTCAAATCAACTCCTTTTACAGATCTGAGATTACTATCCACTTGTCTGAATGCAGTTTTAGTCTGAAAAAGATTTTAACCATGATTTCAATAAATAATGGGAGGGATGTGATGGTCATTTGTTTTTGAAGATCTAGCAAAAGTATATACAATTTTGGACTTAAAGGTAAAATTTCCACTCACTCTCTATGGACTTCATATCTCTGACTATATTACGAGCGTTAGCCGTACATAAGTTAAGTGTAGTTTAAATTTATTACCGTCTCATCATTTGGTAATCCAATTGCCCTCAATAGTTCGTCGTGGCTGTTTCCCTCAGCAGCCAAGGACAATTGCGCCAGTGGGGTCAGTACAGAAAATGCTGATAAAACAAAACTCTTTCGCGGATTTTTATTAGAGACTTCCTGGAATTAAAATAACAAAATTGAGAAATATTAGAAAACTGTTTTAACTTTATCTTAAGCCTAGCAAGAATTAGTATTTCCCTGGCCGTATACCACTCACGTAGGGTCGGTGCACGAGGTTTTATAAACCTTAGTGTTTTGGCTTAATATCTAATGCCGGCCGCCTACCCGTCGCCAACCCTACTTGGGAGGAATTAGCACGAATTAGCATTCAATAATAACTACTTTGTATTCCATAATAAGATAGTGCAAACAATACATATTTGACATCATGTTCAATATAATTAATTTAGCAATTTTTTGTATTGTCTCAAAGTAAACATAACGTTGATCTTAAAATTGAATAGAACTTACTGCGAACATTTTAGCTGTGAATTTGCTATTTCCTTCTGCCAGGAGCGCCGCATCATTAGCGTCATTATTGCAACTTGCTGTTGCAAGACACGCTAAGACTACAACTGAAATAGTAAAGTAACATTACATATTGCTATATATGTATATAACATTACACATAATGTATACCTTACTTGTAAAGTCATAGTATAAAATATACTATGTTATTATTTATTTAAAGAATCTGTGAAAATTGTAAAGTGATCGAATCTATAATCGAAATTACGAACTGGCAAAGATCTGAAAAATAAACTAAAAACTTCACAAAACGTTCTAAAGCATTTTATTGTACTCAAACTAGTTTGGAGTCTGGTCATTTACTTCTAAGGAACCGGTCTACGAGTACTGGATGCAACTATGCCCAAGTAATATATTTCATTGTTTGGATACGTCAATGTCATATAGCTTCGGGCGTAATCATTGTTCATAATAATGGTTGATGACGTAATGAGCTAGCAGTCTTTTTTCCTTATAGCTAAATATATACCAAGTTATAAAAATAAATTGTTTATAGTTTTGTTAAACCGGTAAGCAAGAAATATATTAATAAGTATCATTGGCAAGTTAGTTAAGTCTTATATATATATATATATATAGAAATAATTAAAATATACGTTATTTCTAATCTCAAAACATAAAAACCAATGACCAATTATATTGAAATAAAAACTAATAGTTTCTTTCATTAGTTAAGTATAAAAATAATTAATGAATCAAATGTATTTAAGAATAATTTCATTACCTATTTTCTTATAACGTACTAGAACATATTGGTTATTATATCAAGATAGAGAAATTAAAAATAATAATAATTTACTTACAATAAATAGTCTTCATTTTGTGAGATGTTACTCGCACGCCAGCTGGAAGACAACTAACCAGTTTTGTTGAGATGTTTCATTTATAAATATCTTTATATATATAATTCTTTTGTGAGTGTGTATGTCACTGAACTTCTGGACTGATTTTGATGAAATGTTTTGTGTGTGTTCAAGGGGATCTGGGAATGGTTTAGATTCACAATTTTCATCAAATATTAACTTCATATTAATTTATTCAAATTAAAGACGTGTAGACAGGACAACGTCTGTCGGGTCCGCTAGTATTTTTATACAATACAAACATTGACGTTATCGATATATCGTGGGTCAGTCCGATGTTTTCTTAAATTTGTTTATTCAAAGTATGATGAGGATAACCTTTAATTATCGAATACTAAGAAAGAGTTATCTCTATATTTGAGGTATATTTACAAATAAATATTGTACAATGTGGGATTTTCTCAGTGAATTATAAAGAAACTTGCTGACGACTATGTCCACGTGGTATTAAATAAAACTTAGAAGTAGCCTTTGTATGTTTCCAGACCATGTTCTACATCCATGTAAAGTTTTAGCGAGATACAATGACCGTCGGTGGCTCAGTGGTCAAGCACTTGACTTGCAATCTGCAGGTCCTGGGTTCGAATCCCGCCATGTACCAATGTGTTTTTCGATTTTCGATTTACATTTGTACATTTATCCGACATTCTTACGGTGAAGGAAAACATTGTGATGCAACCTGCACATATCTGAGAAGAAATTCAAAGATATGTGTGAAGTCAACCAACCCGCACTTGGCCAGTGTGGTTGACTATGGCCTAATTACCCTCAGCTTAGGGTAGGCTCCGAGCCCCTCGGTGGGGACGTATAGTGAGCTGATGATGATGACAATACACCGCCCTGGAGCTACCTTCTAACAAACATTCATCCAAACTTTGTCATTTATATTAGTAAGATTTTGTCAGTAAATTAAAAAAAAATAGATTTTAAATAATAAAGTATATGTTTCCAAAGTGAAGTTACTCTACACAGTTGTATTTTCTTTTAGCTCCAGAATTATTCCTCACATGTAAAAACTAACCAATTTAATTAATTATTAGACTTGATAACTACCTATTGGCGGTACCCGTCTTGTCGTCGTGAATTTGGGGCTTTAGTAATCGTGGTCGCATCGCACGGTGAAGATAATACGACAAGGGCTTCCCCTGAGGCACAATGCATATGCTTATGTTCTGTATAAAAAAAAACTAGAAAATGACTCAGACTTAAAATAATGTATTTAATTGCTATTTGATGTAATTTTAAGTTGAACAAAATCTAATTTTTATTCAATTTATGTGATAATATCAGTAATAATTAAAAAATATATTTTTTATTATACATGTATGTGATATTTTTTTAAAGTTTTCGATTCTCCGACGTGAGTTTGCGTCCGCAAATATAACACGCCAGCATATCTAATCAGAATATATGTAAATTTACGGTAACTTAACGAACCTTGAAATAGTTATATCCTTGGCGATTTACTAACAAAACAAAATCGCTAGAAGATATAAATCGAATAAAAAAAACTATATAATAGTAAAATCTAAAACTACACTAGCTGTCGCCCGCAGTTTCTTCCGCGCGAAATTAAAAAAACTTTATAAGTAGCCTATGTGTTTTTTTGAGACTATGTTTACATTTAAATGTAATTATGAACAGTAGAAAAATCATCACAAATGTGTTTTTTCTGGGTTGCATTACCGTTGTTGCTTTGTTAAAACTAATTGCATTAAGCAACAATACAGATTGTAATTGTATAAGACTGGTAAAAGCATTTTCTTGTTTCCCGCGCTATGAAAGAGAAGCAATTAGCCGGCACAGCCCTGTTGAGACAAAGGCTACCTTAATAGAGCACCAAACTCTGACATACTTGCTATGTTGTCTTACTAAATTTACGGGTTAATGGACCTCAATGTAGTATTTTGTATTCCATTTAAGTAAATCGCTTAGTAATGAGAAATGACTTTTGTTTCCCATTGGACCGGTCAACCGATCCTAGGGAAAACAATGCTATTGGCCCAACGGAAAACAAAGAACTGAAGTGACAATATTTTACCTAATCTTTGAATTTACTATTTAATTTTTTTTTGATCTTAGATTGCAAATAACGTTCAAAGAATACATTTTTCCTTATTGTTTTAAAACTGCGTCATTCAGTTCAGTTGCACATTGTTTTCGGGCTTAATCTTTTTCCTTATTAAAACACGGATAAGGTACTTATATTCTACTAGTCTACTTATACTACTATTAGAAATGCGAATGTTTAAATGTATGGATGGATGGATGTTTGTCTGAAGGTATCTCCAGAACTGCTGAACGGATCTCGATGAAATTTGGTATACATAAAGAATAAAGTCTAGAAGAACACATAGGCTACTAATATTTTTTACTAACTCCGCGCGGACGGAGTCGCGGTGACCGATAGTTTATAATAAATTAAAGACAAAATCAACCAACAACTGACCTATTGTGCTAATATTCATATAAATTAAGTATATGGTTTTCCTCTACAACTTTTTATTTAATAACAAATGTATTTTTTTATCTGAAAAGTCGTAAAAAACATCTTGAGGGTTGAATCATAAAGTAAGTTTGGAAAAGGCAGCGAGTACCGTTCAAGAATTTCATTTTATTAGAACTTTTCTCCACTCGTTATTATTATCTTATTAAACTGTCAAAAAGTTCGCACCCTTATTCGAGAGTTCACGAAAGAGATTAACAGTAATTGGAAAACCTTTATTTATGTAAACAATTGTGTATTACGACTTCGAGGAAAATCAGCAATATTTCAATACTAGCTGTCGCCCGTGACTTCGTGTGCACGGTATTTAAAAAAAAAACTTAATTAGTAGCCTATGTGTTTCTCCAGATTATGTTCTACATCGCTGCTAATTTTCAGCGAGATATGTTCAGCCATTCTGTAGCCAGCTTTAAAAATATCTATCCATCAAAACATTCGCATTTATAATACTAGCTGTCGCCCGCGATTCTGTCCGCGCGGAATTAAAGAAAAAATAATGGTCGCAGCGTAATGTTATATATCCTTAAACCTTCCTCTATAAATGGACTATCCAACAAAAAAATAATTTTTCAAATCGGAGCAGTAGTTCCTGAGATTAGCGCTTTTAAACAAACAAACTCTTCCGCTTTATAATATTAGTACAAATTTCAATTTCATTTCAATTTAATAACAAAGGTATTAAAATAGAGAGAAAGTATTAAAAGAATTGTCCGTTTTCACATATTGTTGGTTGTGCCCGTCCGACAGAGTCTCTGATACCTGTTTCTAATGCAATCTGAATTAGTGTTTATTAAAATTACAAAAAAAAATTGTATTTATTGAAGTTCCTATTTATCAAATAAATGTCATGTAATATAAAAAATTTACATTCCATTTTTTCAAAGAGATATCATTAACTGAGTAAACGTATATCTTAAAATGTTATTCAAAGCAAAAAAAAAAAATCCAAAAATATGCGGTTCTTAAAAGCACGTAGGTAAGAATTTCACAAGGCTTTCATTTCTTCCTAGTAAATTATTCATGGGCTTCGAGTCTTTGTAACACGATGATTTAGACACGGAAGCTACGGTCGATAATACACTCGAACGTTTTATTTAAAACTCAGTTTTGCTTTATACTGTATAATGCAAAATTAATGAATCCTGTCTGACGGTATCTTATATCTGGTACAAAAGTTTTATCTGTGAAAAATCCGTGTTTACAAGCTCGAAGCAATCACATCGGTCAGTGACATATTGTATCCTATCACGTAAGAACATCATACAGCTGATTAGTTCTCTGATAGTTAAGACATGGTTCATATAAAAAGACGACTACTACTAATATAAACGTGGATTAAAACCTTATTCCGTAACCCAAAATAATTAAGAATGAATTAAACAAAAAAAAAATATTGTAAAGTACCAAATTGTTATCATCGTCTCTGAACTAAAGAGAAGAATAATTTTACTGCTTAATGAAAAGAAGTAACTAAAAAGTGAAAATCTCAACAAAAGCCAAACGAATAGGGCGGGGGAATGTCTGGAATCACGGAATCGTCTCGTGGCGATCGTAAATCATCAGTGATTACAATATTCCCCGCGCAGGAGCGCCGCTATCAAAGTAATAAATAAGCGCCGTCTGAAACTCTGTCTCTCAACATTTTTGCGCGACTATTTCGTTTAAAGAGCTAACAACTTAGTACTCAATATAATTGATTTGTTTTATTAGTATTACAATGTTTTCTATGCATCAAAAGATCTGATTTAGTTTTTGACAAAAGTTTTTTGTAATCAGGTAAACTAAGAATGAATTAAATGTTTTTAACTTTATTTTTTGAGAGGTGATCTTGGATTTGACTCTGTATGTCTCAGGACCTGTTATTGCCGGTTCGATAAACTAATTGACGTGACGCAGGGACTCGAAGTTGACCTTGGCCTCCCACAAAGTCTCCACTATATCCCGCGTCGTCCCAACCCAGTCACAAACATGTACCTCAAGAAGATCTTTATCCGTCTCTTCCATCCAGCAATGCCTAGGACGGCAAACTGGGCCATCCTATGTGCACGCAGGTAGAGCTTATTCTAGTTCATATAAAATATATTTAAAAAAATATAAAAGAAATTTCTAATTTAAAAAGTCATTTAAACAGATTAAAATTAATAACAAGTATATAATTTTTCCTCAGTACTCATGTAATATGTTAATTAAAAAGTTAGAATAGAGTCTTAAATAAAAATTCTTTTACATCCATTGCATTCTGGCTCTAAAGAATTTCAATCAATTTAAATTGACTTAATGCAATGTTAGCTCGGAACTTACACATACTATGATGTCTTAAGTAAATAAATATCGCAAAATATATCGAATTAAAATATGAAATACAACTTGTATAATTTTTTAAAATCAATTTTTAATTCATACAATAAATTATAGAAACTATAGAATGTTGTGAATGACAGAGAATTTTTATGCTATTTGTTTGTAATTTTCGCATTAAGTATGTTTTTGGACTGTACTTTGATATAATTAATTTTGCTAATATTATAAATGCAAATGTTTAG